GCCGCGCGGTTCCGCGCCTCCTCCTCCGCGCCCCGCGCGCCCCCCGCGCCGGCTCCGCCCCGCTCCCCTCTCTCTGCTCCCCCGCGCCCAGCTCACGTTCTCCGCTGGCCGCGCGGGAGGCACGATCGCGGGTTCCCCCGGCTCATTTCGGCCGCGGGAAGTTTTCTCCTCGGCCCGTCGCCTCCCGGACGCTGTCTGGACGACCCGGGACACGGAGCCCGGCGGAGGGGCCCTCGCGAGTGCGCTCGGAGAGCGACTGTCCCCATTGTGAAAGTGCTTTCCAGTGCAAGTTTAAAATTAGAGTGTTTACTTGCCGTTTATATCCAATCCCGTCCCGGCGTGTGCCACATCCACCCGAGTCAAAGGAACCGTGAGGGTCCAAAAAGTTGTTAGCCTGGGAGTATTGCTAGCCTTTTGTCAATCACGACGTTTGCGTTTGGGGTGGATGGTGGGGGTGGATGGGAAAGTATAGGAATCGTCCAGAAGAAAACAAATGCATGTTCAGTCTACAAATAGCAGCATTTACTATCTTTCTTAGACCACAGAAAAGGGAATAGAGACTTCTATAATTAAAGGGAAAAGGAAAATGAAAGGAGCTGAAAATACTGAACTGTGTAGTCTGGGTGGGTTAAGTTTGAAAACACATGAAATTATCAGGACTGCCAAACAGCATTTCTGAGAAACCGTATCGCAAATTGTGTAGAAAATCAATGCTGAAAGAGGAGCAGGCGCTGTGCCTCCCACTCCTTTAAAGAATCCCAGAAATAGTTGCCGAGAGTTTTCTCCCTTCCCCCCTTTCCGCTGAAGCAAGCGATATGACACATTGAAAATAAAATCAACTTTCATCCGAAGCACCACTCTGCCCTGGGTTTGGATTTCGGTGTGAGCAAAGGATTCATACACAGTTGTACTCAGTGGATACCCCAATAATGTCTAATATGTTTATTTTTACTTTTAAAAAGCTTATTCTTTGCATTGCAGTTATTAAGCAACAGTATTTGTAGACTCGGTTCATTTTTATATATCTTTTAAGTTAGGGCGAATGATGAAATAAAGCAAACAAGATACAACATTTCATTGGAAAGAAATCACTTGTTCTTGTGCTCAGGTTTTCAAATTTGTCTGATTATTTTTAAGTTGCAATATCTGTGACATTGTTAAAATTAAATCTTTAACCTATTTCTCAACTTCCTGAATAAAATTTTTTTTCCCTAACATAAGATTTGGAAAGGCCAAACTAAACAGAACCTAGGAGTCAATCAATTCATCCGGCAGCAAATTCAGATAATTGGAATGTATGATTCTTCAGTATATAAAGAGTAACAATACTATAAAGAAAATTATATGTATAAAGAACTGAAAGACGCCCTCTAAACGTTCCTTCTCTCCTGAAGCAGGTTTCAGTGCTCTGTGGTCTTTAGAAAGGTGAAAACATTCAGTACTAAAAGGCAATGTCTTCATAGTTAAAAGCAACAGTTTTCATCGGCAGGAAAAAAAAAATCCATTATGAAATCTGAAGGATCCGTGGTCAAAAGAGCTAACTACCATAGTTGATACAGTCCTTGCCCCTAACTGACTACTGCTTAATTTAGAGCCTTCCAAACTTACCCCGTTAATGAGCTGCTGTCATTGGTTCCCTAGTCACCAGAGGCACACCTTCTCCCTCTAGTGGTTGGACCTTTAGGCAGTTCACCAGCAGTCATCGGCTTCCCCAAGAGTGAGATAATTAGGCAGGGACTAATTAGGAAGCACAAATTTTAGGGGGCCAAAATTCTGAAGTGTGAGAATTAGGACATCTTTTAACATCCCATGTTTCTTTCTCATTTGCAGACCAAGATGAAATCAACTGGTCTGAAGAAGTCAAGAATGTGTTTACAAACTAAATGGCGTGGTTCTGTTCTTTGCCTTTGAAGCCGGTGTTCAGACTCACAATGAAATTCATTCATGAGAAAGTAACCGTATATAAACTGTAGCAATTCACTTTGTGCAAGATTTCCCTCCATGATATTTTGATAGTGGTTAAAGAATGGATTTCCTTGTGTCCTTGGCCATAGCTACACTGTATAGTATTTGTTAGACAGCTGTCTAACTGTCTACTTGAACTGTGAAAGAAAAGCTACCACCAGGAGAGTAGAGTGCACTTTATCTTGCTAGAGAATAAGATGTTCAGTTCGGAGAAGGTATGACAGCGGAGCCAAACTCCCTTTCCTCTGCCATTTCTCACATCACCATTTCCTTCTCTTCCTTTCTGTTTGAGCTGCGGAAGCTGATCCTTGCGGTGAGCATCGTTCTAGAACCTGGCATATGTCCTGTACAGGATTGTTGTGGATAGTCTATCCATATGTTGATTCTTTAAAATAAAACTTAACTCCACAGCTAGAATTCACTCTTGGATTTTGTTTGTTTGGCTTATTTGGGTTTTTTTTTTTTGGTTTTTTTTTTTTTTTTTTTTTTTTGAGACAGGGTTTTTCTGTATAGCCCTGGCTCTCTTGGAACTCACTCTGTAGACCAGGCTGGCCCCGCACTCAGAAATCCACTTGCCTCTGCCTCTGGAGTGCTGGGATTAAAAACATACACTACCACTGCTCAGCTAGAGTTCACTCTTGTTTGAACAGAGATTGCGTTTTGTGACTTCACTGTTTGGCACTACATTGATAATAAACACGAATGAATGAATGAATGAATGAATGAATGAATGAATGAATGAATGAATGAAGAGGGATGCACATACCTCCTTCCATATGTTAAGCTATTGTCAAGGAACACACTTAACTAGGATAAATTCTGATTTCTTAATGAGGTGGGTCAGCCGTTAGCTGATATGTCATGTTACAGGTGACCTTAGCATGTTAGTTCTCCCTTATCCACATGAAGGATATTGATATCTTCGTAGATATTATCAAATACATTATACAGGTATCAGTTGCAAAGGGGGGCTAAATTGCATGCAAAATGCAAAATTCTGTAAAAATGTAGTGTTGATTGAAATTCACTTCTACGATTCCTCAACTTCATAACAAATTATTTCTGGTTACCTGACAATTCAGAAAACTGGGTGACCAGCCATTGCAGCCCATTTAATTTTATAACCACTAAGTGCAATTAGTAAAAGAAACAATTTGCAAGAGAGTGTGTCTAAAATACGAATTATAAAATATGACCACTTTTTTTTTTCTCCTGAATGGTTTAATGTTAACTGTTTTAGCTTTACAGACAATTCCCATTGCAGAAACTGAGATAAAACCTCACATTTTATTGTTTTGCTCAAGAGATTAATTCTACATTTTTAAGTTTTGGCTTTGTTTTCTGTATGTAAGTGGGGTAGGAGGGCAAATTAGATCATTGTGATTCTTACGTATTCTTCTTATATCAAAGAAGAATTTCTTAAAACTATATGTGCATTATGTTTGATGGCTTTCTCATGCTTAACGCAACATTTCTACAAAGTACATGTTGGAGTACAGCCTCTAGAAAAATGGAATTTAAAATGCAAACATAGATGGCTACTGTTAATATTATCTTCTTAAGCAAGAAAAGGGACGATGCTGTCTCGTTCTCTCCACTTAGTCGATACTGAAGGAGTGGGAAGCCCGAGATTGAGGATGCTTTCTTTAAAACTCTGATTTGGTTTCTGGCTTCCCAAGTTTCAATGAAAGCATTCTAAGATCCCAAATCCTAAGTAGGTATATTTGTACACCCGAGCCTGGCCTCGCAAGGCACATTAAGAGTCTTGGGTCTAGCTGCTTGACCTGTGAGGCCTAAATCAGGAAGCTCTTCCCACCCTCTCTATCTTGAACACTGTTTCTTCAATATTCTTAAAGAGTGTTGGTTTGTAGTTAAAGATAAGATTTTTGTGCAAATATCCCTGTCCCTAGAAGAGATAACACAATTGAATTTATACCTTGAAACAATGTTTTCTTCTAGGAAGCATTTCCGGGGCAGAACATGTAGGTGGAGAACTACAACCAGGGCAGATGAGAGCTGCAAGCTGAGTGATAAACAAGGGAGGTGAGGAATTTGCAGGTTTCAGAATACAGATGAAAACATGTATTTTTAAAGATGTCGTAAAAACCCATCATAATTGCTTTTAAAATGCAAATATATTTGGCGTTTGAAAAAAAGAAAAGCCTTCTATCTGTACAAAAATGGAATTTCAGCCACAGGAAGTGGGGCGCTGTGCAAAACCAACCCTGTCTGAATGCCATCAGAAGGAGGTTCTAGGAAACCCAAATGTTAGCACACAAAAAGTACAGGAAAGCTTTTGGAATGCCCAATGAAGTATTGGCACAAGGAAACAAAAGCATCAATTCTCTAGAAACATAGCTTGGAAATAGAAGATAACAATAAAATGGAAAAAGAAAGTCTAGTGAACATGACATTAATTGCATTAGACATAGGTTCCAAAACAAAAACAAAACAAAAACCATCCTCAATAGCCCAGAATATTTTTAGCAACTAAATTCAAGAGGTGGGAAAGTTTAGTTTGCCAGGAATTGGAGGAAAAACCCAAAATGAACTTATAATTGTGGAATTTGCGGGGGGGGGGATGCAAAAAAAAAAACAAAAAACTGGACTAAAGTTCTGTATAGCAA